GAGGAGGAGGAGGAGGAGGAGGAGGAGGAGGAGGAGGAGGAGGAAGAGAGGTTTGGGTGGACCTGGACCGCTGACGATGTCTACCACCTGGCGTCAGGGTGCGTGGAAGGGAAAAGGAGCACCAGCGTTTCCTTCTTTGTATAAAAAGGGTAGTGAATCAGGCGATCTCTCCGGGCCCAGCTACTTAGATAGTCTGCAGTTTGCATAAGATGCCCCAAAGTGAATAAGCAAAACTGGCTCCAGTGCAGCATGCCCTCTGCCCATTGGTCAGCAGAGAGGACCTTGGGTTTTCTCCAAGTTCTGTCCCTAAGCTGTTCCCATTCCTCAGCCAAGTCAAGTGATCGCTCTTGACTTCAGTGTCCCCAATTGTCCATTGAGAAGAAAATCCATTCCCTTCCGATGCCTCCCCGGGGTTGGTCTGAGGATATGATGAGGTCACCCAGAGCTCTTCTGAGCACCATCGTGCTCTCTACACGGTGCCGTTACCAGCAGGGCCTCTCAAGTGTGCCCACTCTGCTCCTGGGCACATGTGGCAGCACAGGACAGCATTGCCATGGTTGGGATCCAGTGGCGACTGCGTGGCAGACCATTCCCAGGATGCCCAAGATTCTGGTGACCTGGGGGGGGGGGGTTCCAGAGGTTGGCAACTTAGTCAACAGACACTTGAATTGAGCTTAGCCTGGGGGCAGAGGGCTGGCTTTAGGCATCATTGTGGAAGGCTAGCCAGTTTCTCATGCTAAGCCATCCTGGGTCTTGTTTATTCATCTTCTCATCTGCTTGTCTCTCCTCCCACTCGATTTATGAGCTGCTTTCTTGGAACTTCTGCACTTTACTAATAGAACCCGACACAATGCCGCCTTTTATTTAGTCATTCAATAAATATTCTGGGATTACCCTGTGCCTGGCTCCGTGCTGGGGGTGGGATGAGTCTCTGACCTCAGAGCTTAAAGGTCTGAAGGAGTCAGCCATCACAAGAGCCTCCCTGTAAACCTGTGTCTAGGGAAGGGCCCTGAAGTAGAGCACTCAGGAGATCATGCCATGCCCCTGTAAAATGCGGTTGAGCCATAATCTGATCGCTGTCTAGGTTGTTAGCCAGGTCCATAGGGACCTGGAAGAATATGCACAAGCCTGAATGCAGGAAGACTTGGAATAAGATAAATGTAAAGAAAAAAGAAAACTAGGAGCTGGAGAGATGGCTCAGAGGTTAAGAGCACTGGCTGCTACTGGGTTCAATCCCCAGCACCCATGTGGAAGCTTGTAGCTCTCTATAACTCCAGTTCCAGAAGATCTGATGTCCTCTTCTGGCTTCACAGGCACTCCATGAATGTGATGCATAGACAGAC